AACACTAAAAGTTTATTTTACCCAATTTTGAGCTATATATTAATGGAAGTTCAAAATTAGGCAAAATAAACTTCTAGTGTTAAAATATTGAAACATTTATATAATGTTCCTTCAACATTATGTTTGTGAGATTTGCTCATGTTCGGTATTCTATGGACAGTGTACATAAAAATTTATTCTTACTGTAGTACAGTATTCAAATCTTCTATTTACTTCCACATTGTATTACTGTTTGCCACTTGATGTGGTTTGGCTCTGTGCCTTCACCCAAATCTCATCTCAAAATGTAATCCCCACATCTTGAGGGAGGGACCGGTGGGAGGTGATTGGATCATGGGTGTGGTTTCCCCCAAACTGTTCTCCTGATAGTAAGTTCTCAGGAGAGCTGGTGGTTTTAAAAGTGTGTCACTTCCTCGCTGTCTTTTGCCTGCCACCATGTAAGACATATCTTGCTCCCCTTCACCTTCTGACTTCGGCCATGATCTTAAGTGTCTAAGGCCTCCCCAGCCATGTGGAAGTACAAGTCGATTAAACTTCTTTCCTTTATAAATTACCTAGTTTCTGGTAGTATCTTTATACCAGTATGAAAATGGACTAATACACTAATGTAATATGTTTCTGTTTGGAGTTACTAAGAATAATTGATACTAACCTCTTTGAAAGTGCCTTTTGTACATACATGTTCACATTTTTGTTGACTGTGTATCTAGCTCATATCATGTGCCTATGTCTATTACGTAGATACTTTCAAGGAATTTTCTAAAGTGATTGTACGAGTTTACACTCCCAGCAGAAGCATACAAGAATTCCAGTTTCTCCACTGTATTGTCACCACTTGGCATTGTCTGGCTTCTTATGCTTATAAGACTTTCTGGTGAATGGATAGTAGTTTCTATGTTTTAATTTCCAGCTCTTTGATAATAAAGTTGAAAACTATTTCAAAATGACTGGATGTTTACATATCTTTGTTATCAAGTGTGTTTTCAGTGTTGCTCTTGCCATATTATTATTAGTTTGTATAATTTATTTATATATTCTAGATATAAACCTTTTGCTGTATATATGAATTGCAACTATGTTAATCAATATTTTTAAAAACAAAGAAATTATGCAGTGAATAAATTTTAGTGCTAATTATGTAAGATTAAATCTTTATTTCTATTTTAAAAATAAGTATCAATTCTTATATTAAATGTTAAGATATCAGAAATTCAATATGAGTCTAATATAGTTAATATTCTCTAGTATAGTTTCTACCTTCTCAACCCAAAGTGTTTTGAATGATTAAAAAATAGAAACATTTATTTCTGGAAAAGGAGACAACTGAAGTGGACTGTATGATAGAGTATATCTAATGTGAATAGGGGCAAAATGTGTAAAAGGAAATAACTGGTATAGCAGTTTGTCAGGACGCAGGTATCAATAACAAATTTCACTACTCCCCCACCTCAACTCCTGTTATTTCAGACGTGCTTTTCTTGTTACAATATAGGATAGGTAAAATCTCCTCTTAAATATTAACATTCATTTTGTAGTTATCCAGATGAGATGTAGGTCTCTAGAAGAGAAAATTGATTTCAGATGGAAAGTCTTAGATTATGCCTCTTTGGGCCTAACTCGATTGTAAAACAGCTAATTGTACTTATCAGTACTCCAGTGTTTTATCTTCATAATCGATGGCTGATAAAATTACTCAGAAGTTACTTTGATATAACCTAATGTAACTAGGAAATAAATAAAATAATTCATGAGAAATACACTTTGAAAAGGTAAAGGCCATGATATTTGGGTGCTGCAAATAACGAATAGTCTTGAAGCGCAATTACTCTTAGTCTCAACCATTTTCATGTCTGGTAAAAGGCTAGGGGAATCATAAAAGTAGAAAAAAAATGACAGTTGCTCCTCTGGCTAAGTATTTTGTTTCATTGCTTAAATTTCCATCATGGGAATTTGTTACTTTTATTATTAAAAATGATGGGTTGGAACAAACAAGTAAACTGCTATTCTGTGTTTTGGCACAGTTAGCATCTCTGTAGTAAATTTATTTTTATTTTTTCTTTCCATTTTTATTTATTTTATTATTACTGTAAAAAATTAAATAAGTATGGGTACATTTACTAATGCTGGCATTGGTAAGGCATATGGAGTCCTTAAATGGAATACAATTTAAAGATAGATTTATTTCATATAAAGTGCTAGAGTTTGTAAAATTTTATATTAACCCAAATAGTGATCAGTGAATTCAGATGTGAAGGATAGAGAACAAAATAAAACTGTAAGTATGTTACGCTAAATTTATATGACGGCATATCATGAAAGATGAGAAAGTAGAGCAATATATAAAGATAGAGATATTCAAATATTCTCAAAATGTGTATCTATTATTTAATTGTCTCACATGTATTCTCAACAACAGAGTAGGTGAATATAAGAGACTCTCTGTAATGGGGTAATATTATTTACCTTCTTTCAAGGATGAAGTGTTAGAGGATTTTGCCTTCCCTTTTCCAAGATCACATATGTCAATGAGTATGAACTTAATGCCAATTTTACTTGGAAAACTTTATAAAAAAGGCAAGCATGGGTGTGTGTTTATATTTGTGTGATATGTGTTGGTTGGCAGTAGTGAAACCACATGATAGGAGAAAATGAAAATTTAAATTACCTTATACCCTAAGTATTATCTTTGATGCTTTTATTTTTCCCTTTGCCCTTAGGTTGTTACTAATTTATACTTAAATATTAATTATACATACATATATCAACACTATAAATTATTTCTCTAAACAAAATAAGTTCTATTCACTATCATCAGTGGGGAAGAGTAGCTGGAGAATAATTCAAAGTTTTTGTAGTGTTAAGGAAAAAGTAATTTTTTGCCCATGATAAACTACATTGTCAACTCTGGCTATGTACACATAGTTAATCTTGGTTACTCTGAAGAACTTATCATTTAGAAAATATAATAGAGTTATCATGACACAAACATGCACTCAATGCATTTGAGTTAATGTATCTGTATCCATCATTGATTATCGCCTCTAAGTTGATGACTTCCAAATTAGTAGTCCCATCGTTGACATAACTTCTAAGATATAAACCTGTGTTGCCACTCCTAGTAAATATTTTCACCAAAGAGAGTAAACATGTTCAAAACTGAGCTCCCTTAAATGCCCTCCACAGTGGGCTTCTTAGCTTCATATTTTTAATGTTATCACTAAAAATGGAAGCCTCAGTGGCCTTTCTCTGTACCAGTGAACATTTTCAGTGTTTCATAATGTCATTTCATAACCTTGTTATGTCTTGTTTTTTACAATTGAACTTCAGATAAAGTTTATTGTCACTATTTACTTTAGGCTTTCATCATCTTCATGATGGCCTTAATGTCTTTCCTGCTCCATAGTACGAAGTTTTTCCTTATGTTGCCTCCTCTTAATCAATACCTTTCTCTTAATCAATACCCCTGGGCTGATGCAAGAACTTAATATGTTCTATGGATATGTGAGTGAACAAAATAGACAAAATCTCCTGCACTTTTAGAATGTGGAGCTCTCATTCTAGTGAGAGGTGTCAACAGTAATCATAAAAAATGTAAATTGTACAGCATTTTGTGAGCTGATGTCTACTGTGAAAAAGGTAGAACAATGTAAGAAATAAAAAAGAAAATGTTGGAAGAGTTTGGGGTATTCACTTTAAATAGGTTAGTCCAAGTAGTCCCAAGAGAATGAGATTTGAGCAAAAATTGGAAGGAAGTGAAGGATTAGCTAGAAAATAGTTTGAGGAAGAACATTCCAGGTACTAGAACAACAAGTCAAATACCCCAAGGCATCTGCATAATGTAATCAGTATGTATGTTTGAGATACAGCAAGGCAGAATAAATAAGAGAGGAGACAGATTTAGGGAGGTAACAGGGAGCTGGGTAATATGGTGTCTTCCTAGTCCTATAAAAGACTCTAAGTCATACCCTGAATAAGAATGGGAAACCATTAAATGATTGTAAACAGTGGAACGAAGTGATCTAAATTGTATTTTGCAAAGACCAGTCTGGTTATTAATAAAGAATATCTTATTGAAAATACAAAGGTTCTGACAATATTGTTCTGCTTTAAATAGTTTTAAATCTTCAGGATTAAATCTTCAGTATAAATTTTCAACCTCCTATAATTCATTAAATTTAGTCTCCTCATCTCCTCCTATCCCTCCCAAGACACCCATGAAAAAATCAGTCCACATATGAAAATACATATTTAAGTACTAAATCTGTGAGCTGCAGACCAAAATTGGATGGAAATGGTAAAATAACACAGATAGAATCATCAAGGAATACTTTGTGTAAATGTTTGAACATGAGCTTAATTTTGAGGATAGATAAAACTGATTAGTCAAAGTTGAGAAAGGAGAAGTTTCTAATCCAAGTGGGGTGGGAGTGGAGGATGTTGTATGATCAAAGGCCTAGAATGAATGTCAAACTGAACAGGGAGATACTGGCATATTGGAAAGAACTGGGCCAGATGGAAGGCAGAGAGTTAAGAATTTCATGCCAACATAAAAATGGGAAAAATATAGATTTTTAGGTAAAAGAAAATAATAAAATCAGTTTTGAGAGCGTAGCCTGGCAGATGGCTCTGATCTATTGAGTAAAAACAAACACAAACAACTCTCATATGAGTCAGAACTTGGTCTCTTCCATAAGGAGTGGGCCTTTTTTATATCTTGGGTGAAATCAGTGACTTTATGAGTTGTGCTTTTGAACAAAGATGGCATGCATTATTTTCTTGGAATATTTATACCCAACCAAAGGAAAGAAATGAGTTAAAGACAAAGGGAGTTACTGCTTTGCGCTATGTTTAGGTGTGGGTATTGCTGGTGTGTATGAGGTCCTGGACTTTCGGTGATATTTACTGTCAAACATATAATATTAGTGTGTGACAACTACAATGAACCAAAAGGACATTGTAAAGTCTGATTTAGATAATAAAGTTGATGTTTTGTTTGCCAGGTAACAGAAACACGGACTGGTCCTCTTGGCTGCAGTAACTATGACAACCTAGATTCTGTCAGTTCTGTTCTGGTTCAGAGTCCTGAGAATAAGATTCAGTTGCAAGGTATGTAGGTAAAATTTCATTAATTCTCTACGAGCCTGGATAACAATTATCCAGTCATGATTTATTTTCCATTTTTTAAAATAAGCTACATATACGTACAGGCTATTAAAAACTCTCATTAAAGGCTGATGTCATAATTTAACTGATAAAATATGAAATTCTAGACCATATGAATAAAATATCAAAATTCTCTTTTCTTCTCAAATTAAGTAACATATAGCAATTGAAAATCTGTCCTAATAATATTTTTCTTACATATAGTAATCATTGTGTCATTATGTAGCAGTTTCTTCATATGCTTGCCTCAACTTTGACTTTTTACTTAAAGATTCCTGTGAAAGTTGTAACCATATTTATGCATGGTGTAAAATGAACTGTTGACATTTTATATTTAACCTAATGTGGCAGTCAAGACTGTATTTTTCTTCTGATAAATAGAAATGTACTTAAGGATATATTAACAAAATATTTACATTCATATGATTTCCATTTTAAAGTTAGATTTTATAAAAATAATTTGCTATTTTCTATGACTACATATTTTAGATATTCAATAGAGAGTATTTTATTCATAAACACTTTAAAAAATACAATAGGTATGCATACATGTTCATTCTTATAGGCAGGAACAGGTTATGAATACACACGTTTAAACACCTCTAGTTGAACAAGTTCAGAAAAGTCTTTGTGATGACACTTTTTGTCAGAATTAAGTTGACTGATCAAAGAGGTAATTTTGAGTTGTTCTTCTCTAGTATGCATTTTTTCAATTGCATAAATTAGAGCTGAATATTTACATTATTCGGTTTTGCATAAAAATGCTTAAAAGTTTCAGAAATCCTACCACTTTTTCCCTTAACTTTGTAATTTTGAAAAATGTATCAGTGTCCCCGCATGTTGGCTTATGCCTGCAATCATAGCCCTTTGGGAGGCTGAGGCTGGACGATCACTTGAAGCCAGGAGTTCAAGACCAGCCTGGGCAACATAGTGAGACGTAAAAAAGAAAAATATTAGCTGGGAGTTGGTGTTGCAGGCCTGCAGTCCCAGCTACTCAGGAGGCTGAGGCAGGAGGATTGCTGCACCTGCGTTCAAGGTTGCAGTGAGCTATGACCATACCACCGCACTCCACGGCCACTCCAGCCTGGATAGACATCACTTTCCATGCTGCACATCACTGTCCAGACACTACACATCATGTTACTCCAGCCTGGGTGACACTGAGACCCTGTCTCTAAAACATTTAAAAAATAATAATTAATTAAAAGAAAAATGTAACAGCATTTAATTGTTTAAATTTATCCTAAATAGTGAATGAATGCCTTTTATTTTGAGTTGTATTAAAAGCACTTGGCCGGGCGTGGTGGCTCAAGCCTGTAATCCCAGCACTTTGGGAGGCCGAGACGGGCGGATCACAAGGTCAGGAGATCGAGACCATCCTGGCTAATCCGGTGAAACCCCGTCTCTACTAAAAAATACAAAAAACTAGCCGGGCGAGGTGGCGGGCGCCTGTAGTCCCAGCTACTCAGGAGGCTGAGTCAGGAGAATGGCGTGAACCCGGGAGGCGGAGCTTGCAGTGAGCTGAGATCCGGCCACTGCACTCCAGCCTGGGCGACAGAGTGAGACTCCGTCTCAAAAAAAAAAAAAATAAATAAATAAATAAATAAATAAAAGCACAAAGTTCTTAAATACTTTAACCATTTGAATGTTACTCAATTTATCAATATCAATTATAGATTTACATTTATTAAAACATTTTCTCTAATTTAAATAAAAATGTTGTCCATCAATATTTCCTGCAATTCTCTACTGCTTACTCCTTTTTAATATATGGATTAAGTTTCTATCAGAATATGAATTACAATAAAAATGACAACCCATTTATAACAATTAGTATGACTACTTCAATCAGTTTGTTATAAAAATTGTTTATTAACAAGATTTGTTGATTTTTGTCTGAATTACTGTGTTCAGTTTTCAAAATATTAAATTGTTTTTTAAACCCCTCAGTCCCCTGTCTAGAAAAATAATTAGCACAAGGAATAAATGAAGCAACATTTCTCTTTTGTATAATTATTATTTCTATTATCTTCAACTAATGTGAGTAACTCAGAAACCTCCATCTCTTTCACTTTTTTTTTCTGTTTTCCATGTCTATATTTTTAATTGTCTATTACAACTTTATTTATACACCTATGAGTACAAAGTCCTTTCTGAAAATAATTTTAGGAAGTCAATTTCAAGACCCTCAGTATTTCATGCACTCTTTCTTAAATTTAATTGTTATTTACAATCCAAGTATAATGTTGACTCATCTTTTAAAACTCTCCTTTGTACTAGCCCTCATCTACCTTGTAAACTAATGTGAACAATTTGTTAACTCCGGATCAACGTAACCATGGTGCATTCCTTTGAAGGGTATAGATATTTCTGTGTCACCATATATGGCAATTGAAAACACTAGTATCACTGAAGAATATTTTATTAAGGTAGCAACAGAGATCTGCATGTCTTTTGGAGTTAGCTAGTTAGATATTTGGTCTGATAAATGGATGGATATAGATACAGATGATAAATAGATATAGATAGTTGCTTGTGTGTTGTGTTTTGTTTCTAAGTACAAGATGAAGTTTTAGAATCAGAGTGTTTGTCCCATTTTGGAATCTTCTGAATTTAGATACATTATTGAAAGAATCCTGAAATTATCACAGTTTTTTAATAAAGACCTTCTTCTGAAACTCTCCTCTTTCAGTAGAAAAAGAATTGTTCCTGAAGTGGAATTGTATCTAAGCAAAGCAAATAAAGCACCAATAATTGTTGAAGTCAACTGGATTAGACAACGAATTCAGAACAGAACGCTATGATTTAACCATCAGTATATGAATCAGTATTTTTTTTAAAATTAGAGATATAAAAGATGGACTTTGAGATCTCATTTTGCTGATAAGATTACAGAGCAGGCGTTTTTCAAAAATTTAAAAAGCCATAGCTACAACTTCAATTTAGTGATGAAAATATATTTAAGGTAGATAATAAAAAGTAGTTATAAGAAAATATTGGCAAATACATATTGAAATATATTTTGAAATTTCTAATATTGAAAATTTTCAACTGCTTATGAGTATAACACATCAAACAAGGTGCCTCTGAGTGAAAATGCAACCAGAATAATTAAAAGTCATTTATTAAATTTTGGTAGTAATTTTTTGGTAAAATTTCCAGACCTTGAAAAAATGAATAATTTATAGAACTGAATTACAAACACTTTTCCAAATTGGTTAGTTCCCAATATTTTATTTAAATGAATTTGACAGGACTAGGCTATTTTCAGGTGAATGATTAAATGTAATTTTTAATGATGGTTCGTAAGTGTTTTGGCTTATAATAAAAATTGAATGATGCTGCTTCATAAAACTCTTTTTGTTAATATTTGTTAATTTATTGAAACACATTTTCTCAGTGCTTACATACATAAAAATGAAGATGGATAATCATTTACACTGAGGGAAGGGTCACTCTAGCCAAAAAGTGTATAAACCAATCAACAAAAGTCCTATTTAGTCATTCAAGTCATGTATTTTCAAAAAACTGATTATATTTGCTTTAAAAAAATATTTCTTCATACTTATAATAAGTGTACTTCTATTGAATTGCATATTACATATGATAGTTATAATAATGTCAGAAATATTTTTAAAATTTTCATTATCAAGAAATTATATATAGCATACATTATACTATATGATATTTCATATTTAAATTTTCAGTAAATATATGTATACATATATACATTACAAGCTATTTACTTTTATAAAAGATAAGAATGACTATGATTAAGAAAAGACATTGATTAATGAAATTTATTATATTTGAATAAAAATATTTAGGGATAATAGAATGAAATAATGACTTGAAGGAGGAAAGAGATGTGTGTGTGTGTGCATGTGTGTGTGTGTGAGTGTGTGAATAATTTTATTTCAGGAACAATTCTTTTTCCACTTGAAGAGCAGATGTATGAAAAAGATCATTACTAAAATGCTCATAATTCACACAAACATATGTCTATACACACACTATACATACATATATACAAATTTTATTTTTATATTTGTATATCTTGTGCAAATGTTATTTTTAAAATATGTATTAGTTACCAAATCAACAGGAATTATATTTCATTTGTACATATATACAGTGTAATATTTTTGTTGTAAAATATACATATTAATAATATCACAGAGTTTACCAACTTTGGGCCTCTTTTATGTATGATGAAAATTTTAAACAAGAGCTTACTCATGTCCAAAGTAGTGTTTATGTTTTCAAAACTATTTAAGGTAGTTCATGAGCAAAATAGCATTGAAGAACATTGACTAGCCGGTCACTTTTACTTAGCTGTTTGTCTTGCCATAACATATGCTGATATGCTGTAAATTAATTTATAATTTTTTATGTTCCTCATCGATTTTCTAATATTGTTTTATATTTGTTTAACAAATATCATTTATTTCCTTTCTTTCCTCTCATTCTGGGTTATAATTAAATGTGGTTTAGGTCTTTCCATCATAACACAAATCTTTTATGCTATTTTCTGTATTTTATATCTTTTTGCCCTTTTATTCCTTTTAAACATATTCTTCTGACATATTTCAGTTCACGAATTATCTCTTAAATGTCTATGCTGCTGTTAAAGCTATCCATTGGTTCTTAATTTCAAATTATGCATTTTTATTTGTAAAATAGCCACTTGATTTTTCTTTATAATTTCTGGTTCCTTGCCATATTGTCTGTTTTGTTATTAAATTTTTGATCATGTGATTGAAATTAATTTATCATTCTTGTTTGATAACCTCTATACCATCCCATGTCTTTTTATATGTTCATCATATTTTATTGAATTCTGTTGTGCATGAAAGCTTATACAAATATCTTAAAATTATTGATGGTGCATTTTCTTCAGAGAAGATTTAGTTTTGTTTCAATGCTATTTTAATTCATTTTGAAATATGCCAATTGGAACTATACTTCAGATCTGGTGAAAGCTAGTGTGTGTGTGCGTGTGTGTGTGTGTGTGTGTGTGTGTTTCGTTTTGTTTTTCTTTACTCTTTGGTTATGTAGCTCATCTAGTAACTAAATCCTGATGAAGTTACTGTCTCTGTCATTGTTGGTATAAATGTCAATTTGTACTTTGTTCTGGGCAGAACTCTAATAGAAAAGATATGCCCAATATATTAGTCTGTTCTTATGTTGCTAATAAAGATGTACTTGAGACTGGGCAATTTATAAAGAAAAGAGGTTTGGCCGGGCGCGGTGGCTCAAGCCTGTAATCTCAGCACTTTGGGAGGCCGAGACGGGCGGATCATGAGGTCGGGAGATCGGGACCATCCTGGCTAATACGGTGAAACCCCGTCTCTACTAAAAAATACAAAAAACTAGCCGGGCGAAGTGGCTGGCGCCTGTAGTCCCAGCTACTCGGGAGGCTGAGGCAGGAGAATGGCGTGAACCCGAGAGGAGGAGCTTGCAGTGAGCTGAGATCTGGCCACTGCACTCCAGCCTGGGTGACAGAGCAAGATTCCGTCTCAAAAAAAAAAAAAAAAAGAAAAGAGGTTTAATTGACTCACAGTTCCACATAGCCAAGGAGGCCTCACAATCAAGACAGAGGCAAGGAGCAGCAAAGTCACATCTTTTATGGTGGCAGGCAAGAGAGGGTGTGTGCAGGGGAGGCCCCATTTATAAAACCATCAGATCTTCTGAGACTTACTAACTATCATGCGGAAACCTTCCTCCATGATTCTGTTACCTCCCACTGGGTCCCTCCCGCGACACGTGGGGATTATTGCAATTCAAGGTGAGATTTTGTTGGGGACACAGAGCCAAACCATATAACCCAATATTGGGCTCACTCTGCCTGCGGAATTTCCTTCTTTCCAGGTTAACCCCAGAAATTCTCACTTCGTTTTTGTCCTTGTTATCTCTTCAGACAGATTATTTTTAATACTTTACCTAGATTTCCTAGTTGGCTCTAGTGAGAAGGTGGGTTGAAAACAAACTAGTCTTTTCACACCGGAAACATTCATATTTTTACTCTGTGGTTTTCAGCTTGTAGCAGTTGCCCTCACATCCTGGCTTTTACAGGAATCCCATAGGTTCAAAACGAAGCTTTGTTAAGCATTGTTACAGTACCAGGTGGACCTGCTCTAAGTATAGTGCTGTCAGTATTCCTGCTTTCTTGTTTCTGTACATTACAGAAAAAAAAAAAAAAAAAAAAGAAAAGAAAATTTCGTGGCCAGCCCTGAACCACTCTTGAGTTGTTTGTCAGAGCAGGCCAAGCTATCTCTCTAGGAACCAACTAGTTCATATTGGTGGTCTGGTCATAAAATTCAAGTGTTCTGAGCTATGCATCCTTAAGCCTCTTTTCTCAAAACTCTTTGATTTTAGAATGGTTTTTCAGAATATGAGTTTCCTTCTTTTAGCAGTGTATATATGTATCATCATAGCAGGAATATTTGTGTTTCTAAAATGGAACTCACTATTTCTTGCCACCAATCTTTCCTCCTCAAATTACATCTCCTGCATTCTGTATTTCTCCAAAAGCACTACCATCTTACATACTCAAAGTTGTAATGCAAAGATGTGCTTTATGACTATGAAAATGGTACATGAATTCTTTGATTTTTTTTGTGTGCAATGAAGATTAAAATAGATCAGTAGTTTACAAGTTTGTAGTCCACATTCAATTACTGTTACCTTAGGTCTTTTAATAAATATATACTGATTCCTGAGTTCCTTGAGCAAAGACTCTGAATTATTCAAATTGTTTTTAGCACTTAAAATTTTCAGAAAAATAAATCACTAGGTGTATCTAAAATGTGCAGTAATTTGGTAAACCATAAGACTAGACAATTAAGAAAATTTCTGATTGTGTCATTTTATGCCTCTTAAGTATTTTAACACTTTTCATTTGCCTTAGATCAAATAAAGTACTATTTAGCAGATTCTCATTATTCCTCTATCCTTAATTGCTTTCCCTAGCTTTGATATTTTCAATCTTCTTAAAGATATTAAATCTAGGCCGGGCGCCATGGCTCAAGCCTGTAATGCCAGCACTTTGGGAGGCCGAGATGGGTGGATCACGAGGTCAGGAGATCGAGACCATCCTGGCTAACACGGTGAAAACCCATCTCTACTAAAAAATACAAAAAACTAGCCAGGCGAAGTGGCGGGTGCCTGTAGTCCCAGCTACTCGGGAGGCTGAGGCAGGAAAATGGCGTAAACCCGGGAGGCGGAGCTTGCAGTGAACTGAGATCAGGCCACTGCACTCCAGCCTGGGCGACAGAGCGAGACTCCGTCTCAAAATATATATATATATAAAATCTAATCTTAAAAATTAGTCAACTCTAGTATATTTCTTTGCCTTCTACCTACAAATAAGTACCACTCTTAGTATCCCACATGGTAAAATTAATTTAAATCTAAATGAATTAATTCTGTATTCCCTGATATAGGAATCCCAAATCCCGAAAACATGACTCCCATATATGTGCGTAAGCACCTCTTTCATTGTATTCTTATAAACCATGTGCAACGAAACAATATTACTACTTTCATTTCCAAAATATATTAATATATACCCCAGCTTTTTATCTGTGTATGATATTGTTAATGTATCACTCTTCACCACAATCACTCAATATTGAAAACTCTACATCTGTCAAATAGTGTTCAATGCCTAACTTTTTAATAAAAAGTTTTCTTACTTTTTTGAACTTAATATAATTGCTTAGCCAATTACATTAATTGAATCACATGTATCTTATATAGTTGAATCTTTTTTTTAATTTTTCTTAAATATACTGCAAATATCTCTGTGACAAATAAATTTCTCGGTCATCTTCACTTTTGTATCTTACCTGGAAATTTTCTTCAAAACGAGAGTGTTCAATAAATATTTATTCCAGGTGAAATGAAAATTAATACAAAATCGAATATAGAAGTTCTAAGAGTACTTTTTCCAACAATTTGCAAAAGGAATTTTGCAATTTGTCAAGATATTTGTAAATTAAATTTTTTGCTAAATGTTAATCTATGATATTTATTAAATCAACCTCTAAGATAATAGTCAAGGGTCAAAATTGATTTATTTTGTTAAACAGAAAACATGTAAAGCCATAAAAGTTCAATTTCTGGTAAGTAACAATTTGCTATTATCAGATTTTTCCTTAGCTTTGTATTTATTTTTACCTGCTTATTTGTTTAAATATTTAGTATTTAAATTTTCTTAAGTAGCCAGAAATAATGAAAAACTACCTTTTTGAAATACCATAATAAATGTTACACCCTGAGAAAACCCAAAATCTTAATTTTATAATATTTTGGAAAGTTTTTTAAGAGATAGCAACTTTACTAAACATATTTCTAGCAAACTAACGAGCTATGCCACTAGGGCTGTCTATACATGGCAAACAAATAAACTGTGAAATAACTAAATCAGTCCATCTGACTCCTGTAGTCATTTTTAGTACTCATTCTTGGAAAACAGAATTATATAATTTATATGTTGCTAATGGCATGAGATAAGCCTTACCATCAACATTCAATATGTATTTTACCAATGGCACAACCCATTATGTGATATTTACATTGATGTGGGCTGATAGTCTAGTGCAAGCAAAATGAAAATATTTAAAACAATTTCAAATCAACTGGTAGAAAATAAATGCATACGTGCATTTTCAAAGGTTTAGAAAGATAGGCTCCATCTATATTATGTAAAAATAACCAAATATTGTGATAAATTACATCAAATAGTCTGAGTTTTCAGTCATCTCCATGATTAGTCATCTCTATTTCAGAAGTTTCATTATTCATGCAGTCAGAATATGTTGGAAGAGTTATAAATATTTGCAGTATATAGACTCAGATATTTTTCTGATAGTTTAAAAACACATAATTCAAAATTTAATATACTAAATTATCTACTGTTTTGATTGAATATTATAAGTAAGTATTTTAATTTTTTCTTTAACTGAGTAAATTTGTTTGATTTCTTTGTTTGTTCTTCAAGGGCTTCAAGTGCTTCTCCCAGACTATCTTCAGGAACGTTTTGTACAAGCAGCTTTGAGCTACATTGCTTGCAATTCAGAGGGAGAGTTTATCTGCAAGGAAAATGACTGCTGGTGTCACTGTGGTCCCAAATTTCCAGAATGCAACTGCCCCTCCATGGATATTCAAGCCATGGAAGAGAATCTTCTTCGAATAACTGAAACCTGGAAAGCCTACAACAGTGACTTTGAGGAATCAGGTAAGAAATGTATTTTAACACTTTTAAATATTGACAAAAATATATTGAAATGGCTAATTTGTCATTTTGCCACAAACTATTACATAGTTGGAAAGATTTTCACTTTTTTATTCTTTCAAATGGTCATTTTCATTGCTTTTATATACTGGTTACCAACTGGTGCTTTGTGTATCGCTACGTACTATTGGCATTAGAGTTTACCCTGATTCTAAGTTGATGTATTAGTGACTTAATAAATAAAGTTCTTGCTTTTCTCAGTACAAGAATTTTTAAGTTATCATCTGATACCTCTGGGGTCTTTCACTACTTTTCTAGTGGCTGCTGTTTCTCTTGTGCAGCAAAATGAAGACAACGTTTGTTCCATACCTTCTTCAACATAATTCTCATTAGTACTTATTTTCACTTTACTTATTTGTATAATGAAATTATCTAAATTTTAATTTTATAGTGTTGTGTGAGTTGTGTTATGATTGTTTTATTTTTACTTAAAGCATACATATAAAATTTACTATCTTTACCATTTTAAACACACATAATAAGTACATATATATTCTTTTTTTTCCCCTTCATTTTCTCCCAACCCCCACTACCCTTCCTGGCCTCTGGAAACCACCATTCTACTCTCTATCTTCACGAAATCTACTTTGTTTAGCTTCCACATATCAGTGGGAACATGTGGGTTAGAACATTTGCCTTTCTGTGATTGACTTATTTCACTTAATATAAAGGCCTCTTGTTCCATCCATGTTGTTGCAAATGACAAGATTTCATTCTATTTTATGGTTGAATAATATTCCATTGTGTATATGTACCACATTCTCTTAATCTGTTCATCCACTGACGGGCAGTTAAATTGAATCCGTATTTTGGTTATTGGGAATAGTACTGCAATAAATAAGGGAGTGCAGCTATATGTTCAATATTCTGATTTCCTGTATTTTGGATATATATTCAATAGTAAGATTAATAATATGGTAGTTCTACCTTAGGTTTTTGAGCAAACTCCATAGAGTTGTCCTTAATGGCTCTACTAATTTATATTTCTACCAATAGTGCAGGAGGGTTCCCCTTTCTCTACATCCTCACCAGCACCTGTTATTGTCTGTCTTTTAATACAGCCCATTTTAAATTGGGTGAGATGATAGCTCATTGTAGTTTTGACTTGCATTTATCTGATAATTAGTGATGTTGAGCATTATTTCATGTACCTATTTGCCATCTTTATGTTTTCTTATGAGAAATGTGTATTCAGATATTCTGCCTAGTTTTCAATTGGATTATTAGTTTTTGTTTTTCTAATTTTGTTTTAGTTATTGAATTATTTGAGCTCCTTATACATTCTGGTTATTAATCCCTGGACAGATGAATGGTTTGCAAATATTTCCTCCCATTCTGTGGGTTATCTCTTCACTTTGCTGATTGTTTACTGTACACGGGCTTTTTGGCTTGATATAATTCCATTTGTCTATTTTTTTTGCTTCAGTTGCCTGTAATGTTGAGGTTTTACAAACAAACAAAGAAAAATTTGCCCAGACCAATGTCCTATAGTGTTTCCTAAATAATTACTTTTTTACTTTTATATTTTTAAGTTTTAGATTTAAGTCTATAATTTATTCTTATTGGATTTTTGTGTATGGTGAGAGATAGGGGTATAGATTTTTTTCTGCATAAAATTATCCAGTTTTTCCAACAATAGTTATTTAAAAGATTTTCTTTTTCCCAATGTATGTGTTGTCTTTGTCAAAGTTGAGTTGGCTGTAAATGTGTGGATATTTATCTGGGTTCTATTCTATTCCATTCGTCTATGTGTCTGCTTTTATCCCAGTACTATGCTGTTTTGATTGCTATAGCTTTGTAGTAAATTTTGAAGTCAGATGGTGTGATAATTCTAGCTTTGTTCTTTTTTGTTCATGGTTACTTTAGTTATTTGGGTATCTTTTGTTGTTCTGCATATATTTTAGATTATTTTTTTCTATTTCTGTGAAGAATGTCACTGTTTTAATGGGGATTGTGCTGAATCTATAAACTACTTTGGTAGTATTGTCATTTTAACAACATTAATTATTCCAGTCCACATGTATGAAATATCTTTACATTATATGTGTGTTTTCTTGTACTTTTTTCATAAGAATTTCATAGTTTTTCTTATACAGATCTTTCTATTATTTGGCTTGATTGCTTTGAGGTGTTTTATATAGTTGTAGCCATAGTAAATGAGGTTGCTTTCTTGTTTTTTCAGATTATTTGTTGATTTCTGTAGTTTATTTTATATCCTGAAACTTTACTGAATGTTTTTGTCAGTTTTAACATTGTTTTTATTCAGTATTTTTTCTAGGTATGAAATTATGTTATCTACAAACAAGGCTAATTTGACTTTTTCTTTCTAATTTTTATGCTTTTTATTTATTTATTTTCCCTACTTGTTCTGGAGAGGACTCCCCATGTCATGTTGAATAAAAGTGGTGAAAGTAAGCATTCTTATCCTATTCCAGTACTTAAAGAAAAAGCCTTTCTCAAAAGAAAAGATTATTTTTCTCATTCAGCAAAGTGTTAACTGTGGGTTTGTCATACACAGCCTTCAAAATTTTGAGGTGTATTCTCTCTGTACCCATTTTAATGAGAGTTTTTATCATGAAGTGTTGTTCAATTTTATCAAGTGCTTTTTTGGCATCTATTGAAATAATGATATGGTTTTTGTTCTTGATTCTGCTAATGTGATGTATCATGTTTGTTGATTTGCATGTGTTGAACCATCTTTGCATCCCTGGGATGAATTTCGCTTGATCATATTAATGTGTTGTTGAATTTGGTTTGCTAGTATTTTGTTGATGATCTTTGCATCTCTGCTCATCAGTGATATTGATCTGTAGTGTTCTTATTGCTTTCTTGTCATGTTTTTGTCTGGTTTTAGTATCAGGGTAATGCTGACCTCATATAATGAGTTTGGAATATTACCTTCGTTCCAAATTTTTGGAGAGTTTGGGTAGAACTGATATTGGTTTTTTAAATTTTGGTAGAGTTAGCAGTGAAGTCATTGATCCTGAGCTTCATTTTGGTGGAAGACTTTGTACTATCTCTTTGATCGCCATACTGATTATTGGTTTGTTATTATTTTTTTTTTTATTTCTTCATGGTTCAATCTTGGTAAGTTGTATATGTTCAGGAATTTATTCATTTCTTCCAAGTTTTCCAATTTGTTGGCATGTAGTTGTTCACCATAGTCTCTAAAAATTCTTTGTGCTTCTGGGTTCTCAGTTGTTGTGTCTCCTTTTCCATTTCTGATTTTATTTAATTAGGCATTTCTCTTTTTTTTTCTTAGACAAAGGATTTGTCAATTTTGATTAGCTTTTCAAAAACCCAACTTTTTCTATCATTGATCTTATTTATTTTTCTAGTATAAATTTCATTTATTTCCCTTTTTCATTTCTTATTTATTTGCCTCTTCTTCCTTTATTCTTAAACTGGCTAAAGGTTTGTTAATATGTTTTCAAACATCCAACTTTTCCTTTTGTTGATCTTATGTATTTTTTAGTCTCAATTTTATTCATATCTGCTGTGATTTTTATTATTTAATTTGTTAATTTGGGCTTTGGTTTATTTTTGCTTTTCTAGTTTGTTGAGGTACATTGTTAGGTTATTTGAAGTCTTTATACTCTTAATTTAGGCATTTATTACTATAAACATCCTTCTTGATACAGATGTTATCGTGTATGAGAAGTTTTGGTTTGTTGTATTTTTGTTTTGTTTTGTTTTTTAAATTTCCTTCTTTTTTTTTTTTTTAATTGACCCATTAGCTGTCTAGTAGGGTGTTTAATTTCTATGTGTTTGTGTATTTTCCAAGGTTCCTCTTGGTTTCAACTTGTGGTTTTTATTCCATTGTGGTCAGAAAAGTTACTTGATAAGATTTTTATTTTTTAATTTATTCAGACTTTTTTGTTGCTTAAGATATGATCTATTGTGAAGAATGTTCCATGCACTGAAGAAAAGAATGTATATTCTGCAGCAGTTGGGTGAAATGTTTTGTTAATGTCATTTAGGGCCTATTAGATCTAGTGCATAGTTTAACTGTGCTCTTTCTTTGTTGATTTTCTGTCGGATGATATGGTCATTACTGATACTAGGGTGTTTAAATTCCACTGCTGTTATTTTATTTTAGTCTTATGTATATTTTTAGCTCTCCTAATGTGTGCTTTATATACTTATAGGAAACTCTGTTGTTGGGCATAAAAATATTGATAATTGTTATATTTTCTTGCTGAATTGACCCCTTTATCATTTTATATTGATTTCCTATGTCTTTTTAAATCTTAGATTTTTAATCTATTTTGTCTGATATAGGTATAGCTACTCCTGCTCTTTTGTTTTCCGGTTGCATCGAGTATATTTTTCCACCTCTTCACTTTCAGTCTATGTGTGTCTTTCTAGGTTAAGTGGATTTTTTGAAGGCAACATATAGTTGGGTCTTACTTTTTTATTCATTCAGCCAGTGTATACATTATAATTGAGGAAGTGAGACCATTTACATTCAGTGTTATTATTGATAAATAAGTGCACACTACTGCCATTTTGTAGCGTGTTTTCTGGTTGGTTTCAGTCTCTTCCTCTCTTCTTACTTTCTTTGTGATTAAGTGATTTTCTTTGGTAGTGTGTTTTAATTTGTTACTTTTCATTTCCATGAATTTATCTCAAGTTATGAGGCTTACAAAAATCGTCTCATAGGTATAACAAGTTGTGCTAAAGAGATGACAACTTACCTTGGATAACAAACATAAGAACAGAAACAAACAAAGGCAAAAAAGACATAAAACATTTTACACTTTAACTCCACTCACCCACATGTTTACTTTTAGTTGTCTTAGTTTACTTTTTGTTTTTTGTTTGTTTTTGAGATGGAGTCTTACTCTGTCGCCCAGGCTCGAGTGCACTGGCGCGATCTCGGCTCACTGCAACCTCTGCCTCCTGGGTTCAAGCGATTCTCTTGCTTCAGCCACCCAAGCAGC